AATATAATAAGTCTAAAGAAATAAAATAATATATTAAGATTTGAATAACTCACAAACAAAATAATAATTTGTTGATTATTATTATTACAACTGAATGTTTTTCAAATTCAGTTGTAGTGTATACACTCTTATAATAATATTTTTATACAGAAAACAAATAAATTCAATTTGATTAATGAATTATAAAAGCTCCCCATTCGATAATATATTTACCTTTAGGTCTTTCAATTTGTTTAACACTTTCTATTCCATCAAATTTCATTCCACTTGCATCAAACATTCCAATGATAACTCTTCTCTTTTTATCAAACCCATCAATTTCAAGTTCCACTTGTTTCTCATACTCTTCTTCGACCAATCGAACTCCAATTGATTTAAATTTATAAATATCTCTCATCCAATAAACAACAAAATCGTTTCTTTCTCTTTCATTAAGTCCGAGTCTTCCTAATAAAACAGAAAGTTCTTCTACGCTATTAACACTGATATTTCTACCCTCTAAAGTACCATTCAGAACTCCTTCCCAGAACAAATACGAGTACTTTCTGTTCTCCACAAAGATGTCACAATTAGACTTTCCACCACTTGAATACTCCAACTCCCATTGATATGTCTTATTTTCACTATTTCCATCTTTCGACTCAATTTCTTGAACCAAAGGAAATGTCTCTCCAATTTCTATATTTCGCGTCTTAAAAGTGATTTGCGCTGTTGTTCTTCTCTTCTCTCCTAAAGTGCCATTTTCGTCATAAAGAAGAATCACCGGCTTCTTTTTCCTCATGGGCTCGACTCTGGGAGCTAACGCTTTTGTTAATAAGTCGCGAAGGCAATTTTTGATATCCGTAGCCCAAGATTTAGTATCACTATTGTCCACTGTAAAGTACGGGTGATGTGAAGCAGAAGCGGCAAACATTTTTAAATCGTCTTCGGTCACTTGTAACGTGCCAGTGATATTGGGTACAACCACTAACCTTTGTAAACATTCAAAATTGACTTCATCACACGCATTTACTGCGTATTCATAAGACTCTTGACTTGAACGGTCGATGACAAGAATCACAAATTTCGTTGAATAATCTTTGAAATACATTTGATTGTATTCTTCTAATGAATGCGTCTCTACTAAGTTGACCAAAACAGTTGTGTTGTTGACGTACAATTTGAAGACTTTTTGAGGAGTGTCTGGAGTGTCGTCAGCTAAATTGTTAATTAGAGTCGTCTTTCCACTATGTGGAGAACCGACTATATATACTGAACAAGGCTTGGTAACATTTGGAGTTGTTGGAGTGTTTCCCATCGTTTTATTATACAAGTTGTTTTAAAAATCTTTTTATTGGTGTTTTTTAAATATAAAAATAAAAAAACATTTGTTTATTATCTTCATTTTTTATTTGCAAGATAATTTGGTGAAAAATTTGAAACAATTTGGCGATTTGTAATTCTTCTTTCAAAAAAACAAAACACTCCAAAAGCAAATAAATATAACAAATGTTATTATTTAATTATTTCATATTATAATTTACCAGGATTGGTTATTCTTTCCCGTTTTGAAATATAAGGTGAAGTATAGTATTTACTATTTTAACTTATGAATCAAACTAATAATACAACATCTGTTTAATATAGTTTTAGTAAATTTATATTTACTTAAACTATATTAATTAATTTACAGTCAAAGTCGTTTATTTGTCGTTAATCCAGTAATATAACCTATTTGTCGTAAATGAGTGAATTTTGTAGAAAATTCTTTTTAATACAGAAATTTATTTTTTATAAAAAAATCGTTTTTAATTCAACAAATATTACAAATAAATTCGAAAATAAAATATTTAATTATTGAACACTAAAATGATTGGCCAGTTGTGCGACAATTAAGCAACTTTGACAATTATAATTACGACAAATAGATGCCTTTGACTGTATATATATTTTGCTTTCTGTAATACAAAGATAATTTAACAAATAAATATAAGAAGCACCAATGGTCTAAGGGCAGAATTTCACCCTCCCAAGGTGGAGATCCGGGTTCGAGTCCCGGTTGGTGCATTTTTAATTACAAAAAATAACAATTAATAATAATTGAATTAAATCAACTGGAACACTGTCAGTCTCGAAATCTGAAAATTCCTTCTTTTATTTCTGTTATAACCGAACATTTTGATATATAAAGCTGCCGCCCCTTTATGATTTAATTTACTGTTTTCTTTTCTCATAAAAAGAATTTCTGATATTTGAAAAAGGTTTTCTGATTTATTGTTATTACAAAAGAATGCCTTTTTTGATGGAGAACACGTACAATATCCCACTTCACAACAATTTTCGTTATAATCAAACACATACATAAACGATAGTGGAGAATTGCAATATTTATTTATTGATATTTTATTATAAATAACTGCACCAAATTTGTCCCCTTCATCGTCTTTAATCAAAAACAATAGGTTTTTTCTCCCATTTATTCTTTGACCAAAAACACTGTTATTAACATCAAAATAATCATAATTGGAATCAAATAATTTACTCTCAAATATCAAACCTGTCAATTTTTCTAATTGTTCTATTTCCATTTGTTCTATTTCACCGTCTAAAAATTCGTTCTTTTTTAATTTTTGTTGAAGGTCGTTGAGTCTGTTGTTAAATCGATCATTCTTTGTTAAACAAATTCGTTTTGAGTTTCTTTTTCTTTCAAGTGTAATCAATTTTGCAACAATATTATTATATTCGTCATCTCCTTCTGTTTCTAAATCAGTTTTTCTTGTTTGATATTCTTTTTTAATAGAGTCTAAAAGAACAATCACTTTGTCAATTTCATTAACAAGTAAATCTCTTCTGGATACAAATTCGTCCATTTTGTCCATTTTACCTTCAAAAACTTCAATTTTATCTTCAATTGATCTGGCTTTATTTTCATTTTTCATTTTAAAAGATGTTTTTGCAAAAGAAGGAGTCTTCTTGGTTAATTCATTGATTTTCTCAATTTGAGAAACAAGTTAAGCAACTTCTACGTCCATTTTAAATTGCTTACAAGTTAGATTTAGTCCCTTTTGTTTTAAGTTTTACGTTATTACCATAATTAGTTTATTTAAGCAGTTAACCAAATTTTATTATAAATATAATAATGATATTGTTTTTATAAATATTGTCAAATAATTAATGTGATTTGATTTTACTTAATTGGTTTCACAACCATCTTCCTTTTTTAATTATAAAACAGAACTCGAAACATCTTGAAATTATTGTGTACACATCACCACTTTTCTTTGCTTTTTAAGATAATAACCCATTTTATTATAGTAAATATAATAGTATTATATTAATATTGTTATATAGTTAAATACTTATATTTTTATTGTATTACAGTATTAATTTCGTATAATTAAATATTAATAATTTTATAGTTTAAAATTATATTAAATTATTAGTAAAACTAATTATAATTTATAATTGATATATAAAAGAAAAGTTATATATAAATAAAAAAGTTAAAGAACTAATATTTAAATTATTTTGTGCAAGTACTTAATATTTTATTTTAATTGAAAATTAATAAACTGTATGCCAAAAGTCGGTACTTTACCAATTATTAGTGGAAACCCTTTTATAATAAATTCCCGTTTTTTAAAGTTTTTTTGTTGTTTTCATTTATAATTTCCATTTGAAAAAAAGAAAAAACAGTACCGACTTTTTAACCCTCAAAACCAATACAGTTATAAATTTCAATTAAAATTTCGGGATTTTAACAAAAAATTAGAACAAACTTGTCCGATTTTCTGAGACTGTTATTCAGTCTTTTTCACTGTTGAGATTCTCAAAAAATCGGCATTTTTGCCTTTTGGTAATGGACGAGTAGTTTGAATGGGTGAGATAACCGTATTTTACCTCTCACATTACGACTCTCCCCCACTTCAAAATACACAATAAATCGTTCTAACTTGTTGTTATTTTATGGTTGTCTCTTTAAAAAAAACAAACTTTGAAACACTACACATATTAAATGGTTATTTTTATTTTCAATAATCTTTTCTTTGTGTTGTAAGTGTTAATGAAATTGAAAGATTTTTATTATTTGTTGGATCATTAACATTTTCTTTTGAAAAGAGAAAAAGTCGGTTTTACTCACGGCAAAAACAACCATATGGTCAAGCAAAATTTTTGAAGAAGTAAGTTATTTGATATTTTCCTTGTTATTTTTTATTTAATTTTTTAGCTTGGTCTAAATTCAAGGTTCAGTCAAGTTTGTTTTTTAAAAAATAAGAGGGAAAAAAATAAGCAAAAAAACGATGTCAAACAAAATGAAAAATATTTGGAATCATTTACTTCAAAAAGTCGGGTCCTTTCGGTACCGACTTTTGAAAAACAGTTTATTTATCAAAT